ATTAACTGACTCATCTTACAAATTATACCATTCGTTTACTTAAAATCAGTGTGATATGCTATGTGGATATATTATCTGGCAAAGTTGTCTGGATTGCTTGTAATGTTGGAGCTAGTAGAGAATGTTAATTCCGATAAGGTGTACAAAAAAAAATTGAGAGTAGACTAGAGACCATTATTTACAATTAACCATTAAACGTAAGAGAGCCCAACATCACAAAAGGAGGGAGGGTGGTGTATCGGACCAGCATTCATGACGGTGGGGCGATAACCTCAATCTACCCATGTCTGTGTGGCAGAACATTTTGTTTGCTTACGGCTCCTTACGATATAGCAGGATGTAACAAATCAGTGATATTGATGTTACATTTTCCCAGTTAACCTCGTCTACAACCCATGTCTGTAACCTTGCACTGGTTTTTACTTCCTACCGAGAAATCCTATTACAAGCTGGTCTGGACAACTATACTAAAAATAGAGCTCATTCATAAATTCTTGAGCCTCAGAGTTAAAAATAAAAAGAATAAATAAAACCAAAAATTTATATCACTGATCCTCTTTATTATATTTTGTAAATCAACTTTATTACTAACAACTTGGTTCTTCTGAATTTCCTCTATTCATTCGACTAACTTCTCATTAGTTATCTCACTACTGAAGTGTCTTCATTAACCTACATAAGCGCAGGTGTAAAGTGTTCTGATATTAAAAATGTTTGGGTAAACATACCTTTGTTTTATCCATAAACGTTTGTGCAAAGCCGTTGTTCGGCTTTGAACATGAATATTTTCTGTTCTGCTCCTCGTCCCGTTTTCTTTATTCCTCTTTTTTCAGAACCTTATTCCAATCCACATATATTAGTCTGGATATTTGTAGTAGACTTGGTTACCCTACCCAAGAACATGTGAAATCATTAGCTGACGAATATTAACCAGACCTTTGTACATTTACCGCATCAATTCTTGTTATATGAAAACCCATCTGTACCATGAATCGTTTCTCAGTCCATAAGATGATTGTCGTAACGCAATTACTCGCTTTGTACATTCCATCTTTAAGAAAACAATGAATCTCGTGAAAAGTTTCAGTAACTGTATACCGTTTTAAAAAAAATATGTTGCTAATCTTAACATTTTGATCTTGCCTGTAAATTGGCATATCTCTTGTAACACGTTTGTTATTTGAGAATAAATTATCATTATTATTATTAAATATCTCAATTTGGTGTCGAAAACTGGATTGTTTCCTGTAAATGATATTTCGTCAATGAGGAAACTTCCTTGTCCTTAACCAGGATCGACACAGACAGATTTACTGGCTGGCTTTTCGAAAAGTTTATCTAGGACCCAGTGACAGTCTACCGGTCCCACAAACTACATTTAGCTTAACAATAAACCAACAATGTTGAAGTGCAAATTATACCTGAAACATAGGTCTATCTATCAGAGTTTATGATATCTTGCATAACCTTTTAAGCATGGAGAAGCTAATCTTTACGCAGTAGAGGTGTGGACGACTTTCACCAGCTAGTGTATACCACTGTATAAAGTTCTATCTCTCGAGATCACTTACTTACGCTTTTTGCCCCCAATGAAGCAGGGGCCGACCACCAATTTCCTTCAACCAACTCTGTCCGGAGCTTCGCTTCCCAGTTTTGTCCCATTTTGTTCATTTTCCTCATGTTTGTCTCGATTTCTCGTTGTACTGTGCTTCTTGGCCTTCCTCTCTTCCTTTTAAACTAGAGGGTCCCAAGTGAAGGCTTGTCTCGTGACGCATTTTTGTGCTTTCTGCAGTGTGTCTTATCCACTTCCACCACTTCTTCCCGATTTCCTCCTCCACTTGAATCTGGTTTGTTCTCTCACATAGTACGTTGTTGCTGACAATGTCTGGCCAACGAATACGAAGTATTTTGCGTAGACAACTGTTAATAAATACTTAAATCCTCTGGATGATGGCTTTGTTATTTGTCCGCGTTTCTATTCCATACAGTAGAACTGTCATGACATTTGTATTGAAAATCCTGATTTTGGTGTTTGTTGACAGTTATTTGGAGACTCAGATGCTGTTCATTTGTAGAAATGTAACCCTTCCTTTGCTGATCCGCTCATTCACATCTGCATCGGATCCACCATGTTTGTCGCTGATGCTGCCCAGTTATGCAAAGGCGTTAACGTCCTCCAAAGGATCTCCATCAAGAGTGATCTGGTTGGCGCATGTTGTGTTGCATCGGAGAATTTCGCTTTTCACTTTATGTATGCTGAGACCTGCTTCTACACTGGTCGTATTCTCTTGCATTTTTTGTTGCGTGCGCGGAAGAGAGCCAGATCGTCTGCAAAGTCCAAATCGTCTAGCTGCATCCTAGCTGTCCATTGGATACCGTCGATCATTAGCAGAAAGAGAAATGGTGTGAGTGAGCAACCTTACCTGACACCGGTCCTCACCTTGAACGAGTCTGTCAGTTGTCCTCCGTGCACGGTTTTGCGGTTTAATCCATCGGAAGAACTCCATTTGATGTTGATAATTTTCTCAGCCCCGCCATCGTGTCGAAGAAGCCTCCATAGTGATATCCTGTCAAAGCTATTGAATGCTTTCTCGTAGTAAATGATGTGGATGTTGAGTGGTGAGTTCCATCCAGTGGGTTGATTCTCACGGAGACCAGCATGTTGATCTTGAAGTTGGGCGTCTACGAATTCCATTCTCTTTAACAACACTGTTGAAGACTTCCCGGTACTGAGGGAAAAGTGATGCCTCTGTAGCTCTCATTTTCGCTGAGATCGCCTTACTTTGGTATTTTCATCAGGTATTCTTCCTTCCATTCTGTAGGTAGTTGTCCTTGATCCCAAACCTTGTTGAAGAGAATGTTGGATATTTTCGCAGTCGCTGCCACGTCTGCTTTCATTGCCGCTGCTGTTATTTTGTCTGGTTCCTCTGCTTTGCCGCTCTTGATTTATCTGATGGTCATACTGATCCATTCGATGGTTGGTGGACTAACATTAATTGGGTAGGTCTGTGGATGCTGCTTCGATGTTGAGTGTGTTCAGTGGAGCTGGTCGGTTCAAGAGTTCATTAAAATGTTCCCCAGTGTTGTTTATTACTCCGCCTTTCTTGCTTTTCATTGGTCGTTCTGATTTACGATAGTTTCCAACGAGTTTCCTTTTCGTATCGTACAACTGTCTTAGGTTTCCTTCTCTTGCATCCTTTCCCGCTGTTATTGCTAGATGGTCCACATATTGTCAATTGTCGGCTCTGGTGCTCCTATTTATTTGCTTGTTTCCTTCTGTGTATTCGGCTTGTGCCTTGATTTTCTTTGCTCCTGTTATCCTGGTGTAAATAGCTGCCTTCTTGTTCCTCCATGAATTTTCTCAAGGGTACCAACAGAGATTCATTCCTTGTGATATTACTCACTGTCCCAGAGCCTCTCGTAGAATTGATCTTTACGGTCTTTATTGCACTTGTTGGTATGCATTGCATTGGACGTTCATTGTAATGCCCTCATTTTTATTTTGTAGGATGCTTTGATGATCCTGGGTTACCGAGATTCTCGTCCTACCGGTGCCTTTTGTGCTTATATGGACAACATCAGTGCGTTTCCTTGTGTGTGAGGCACACATTTCTTCATGTTCGGAGTGTAACAGCAGGTCTCCTGAAGATAGTCTTGGTTATTCAACATATGTCTATTGTGTTTCACAGAATTTAAGCACCTCCAGTTTGTGTCTTTTCATCTCTTTAGCGATTCAGAAAGGTCTTGCGGTCTCCCACATTGTTCGAAAATTTGTATTGACTTCAGTTTTAAGGAGAAAACGCGACTGATTTAATAGAAACATTCACTATTATAACCAATTGTACCAGCGATTGTTTTACTGAACCATTTGTTTATTTGTATTTTGTGCGGGCAAATTTTACGTCAGCGTTGCTGCTATTTTGGATACACTGCTACTTGTAACTTCGCCAATGTTTTCTGGCGCGATCTCGGTATCCGTTCTATACCACAAAGTTGTTAGCAAATATATTCTTTCGGATGGATTTGCTCTTCTCCTCTGTCTCTGACTCACGAAGATATATTTAGTGACGAGAACGTAACTGGTCTGTAACGATGACCATAGTCTACCTCGATTCGAGCCACAAAACATTCCATGAAAGAATGCTTGCTCTGTTCGTCAGAAGGGGAATCGATCTCGTGACTTCCGAAGGGACTCGGCTTTCATCATGAGACATCATAACCCTTCTGAATGAAGACCTAATTCTTAGGGCGGAGGTTTATTGGTTTAAATCGTTTTTTATGGCTAGCGCTTTTTTGGCGAGTTAGTTTTCTATAGGATGGGGTAGCCATGCTCATGCCCAACCATCCTCCTTGATCCGAGTTTGGGACCGGCAGTAGCCCTAGAAGGGCGGAGTTGTCCATCTATATATTTTAACAAACAACCTTAAGATCACCGAAGTTTGTGGTATGTAAGAGTTTAACCATATGTCTGATTCGTAAATAACCGACGTAGATTATTGGAGTCATCTCGAGTTGGGTGGGAATTTCGTCACCATATCTGTACGGTAGGATACACCCAGCTTCTCCAATCCTTTCACGCTAATAGGACTGATTTGCTACCTCGGTGACTGGTTAATAAAAAGCCGGAATAGAATAGATTCACGCTACAAAAATTGAGGACACTATTCCACATTTCTGTGCACGCTGGTATCCCGTGACTCTAACCATACTCAGTAAAGAGATCGAATTTCAGCTGTTTACACGTTGCAAGATGTAGATGAGGTTCAGTGCGATTTCACTGGCTCTAAAAACTTTCAGGAATTGTTTAAGCAGTTTATCTCTAGTTCCTAACAGAATTGCTTTTGATATATGTACTTTGTCTTCGTTTGCTATAGCTTGTCTTGAGATATACGAAACAAACCAGTTACAAGAATATCCGCTGTTATACCTTCTGTGAATTTTTTCATATATATGGAATTACTTATATATTGAACTATTTGACACTCCTTTGTTTATCCCAACAGCCGTGTTAGACAAGTGCATTTGCCCGCCTGTTATGTACCAGGTTGGAGCACAGTACCATTGATGTGTGGGACTTTTTACATAGGTTCGTTAATCTTTGCTTAAACCAGATCTCCATATTTAACGTACCCGACTTGTACAATTTTATTTAAAATGATCTTTAATCTACTACTTTATCGGGAAGATAGTTAGTCTTGCTTTTTAGTCAAGTGATAGAAAATTCGGTCCAAGTATGTTATACAAACAGCAACGGACAACTTGTCAGCCAATTAGGTAACAATTTCTATTCACAAGACAATGAAAATCAAACAGTCAAATAGTAGTTTTAATGTGGTTAGTTAACCTTCACATGTCCAATTATACTTATTTGTCAACAAGTAACCAACATTGTGTACTCAGTTAATCATCCCATGGAGTTATCGTCATCAACATACATTAGTTATAGTCATCAGAGGTTAGACGTACCTGTTCGAAGCTAAGCTGAGATTTTCAGTTTACAAAGCAGGTTTAAGATTTTCTTCATGATATAATATGAGTGACAGTTCAGGATTACAAAGTATCTATCTTGACACACTTGTTGAGATTCAGAGAGAATACTACCTAGGTTCCCATAAGTCCTAACTATTCGCTAATACTGGAAGTATTTTCACATAATCTAATAAGGGATTAGGTATGCTCTGTAATTTAGCTAAGGAACCATTTATGATACACTTTTTGTTTAGATAATCGATATCTTCGTTGATTCCAAGCATTCAAAGAATCAGTGTCTATTTTTACTGAATAATAACATGAGTTATCTAATCACTGCACTTGAAATTTCACTACAAATACGTGAGGGCTTATCTTTTTTCTGAATACTTAAGTTAAAACCGTCAGTATATACTAATCGTACAAACATTTATCGCTGGAAATTTGAAAATCCCAATCCAAGATGAAACTAATATTGTAAATAGTATATAAAATAGCCCCTAACGCAATGCTCATCGTTCGATGCTGCTATATCCTGTATGGTTTTTATTCTCTGGTCTCTGCCCAGAGTTTGAAATAATTTTAGTATCATTTCTCCACCCGTAACACTACTGTTGACGTGTAGTAAACAAGTTATCTTTACATAGAACCCTATGCATAATAGAGGAACGCTCATCGTGGTGTGACGTTTGGTTTACATATAAACTGCAGTACCAAATGGGGAAATTAGTGTGCGATCAATTCATTTCCTCATGAGTATTTTCGAAGTCAGCTTGCAGCTGACTTTGGCCATTTTGTTTACCTCCGTAAATTTCTCTTTAACCACTCTACTTTATATTTCTGATAATTTTCTTCTCTTCAGTCAGATTATAGGAATGCATTCAAATCAGCTCCCTTTGAATTCATTCCAACTGCTATCTGCCAGCATCTGTTACTAAGGTCTGAGTTTTCGCTTTGAAAATGGAGCTTGAATCTGATAACAAAGTAGTTTCTACCGTTTCATAAATCCTTCAGAAGCCAAAATGCATCTATGGGGGATTATACAGTAAATTTAAAAAGGTACTGGACGCTTCTGACAATGAATTCAAAGTGATTCACAGGAATTCTCACGAGGCTATCTACTTAATGGAAAAGAAAGTTGAAAATGGATTTTCTGCAGAAGGTTTGTGACCACCGAAATATTTGTAATAATTCTCCAGAAACTCGCATCTCAACCCTGTTAGATCGATTCCATTCTAGACTGGGTTCCAAACCTAATGATGACATCAGTCATAAAGTAAACCAATTAGCGTTACGACTGTCGGAGGCCAATTGTCCTAGTAGTTCTATCCACAAGTACCTGGTTGTTCTGTATCTATTATCCAGCATTAAAAATCGTTCTCTTGCAGCCAAAGAATACCAGAATGATTTGGAAATATCGGTTGCCTCTTTGGAGAATTCATATAACTCATTAAAGGCTATTATTTCAGAGGTCGATGATATGGAAAGGAATCTGATAAGGTAGCTTATTTTGCAAACTAACACGTCAGTTTGAGGATAATTTTAATCTGACTCAGTTTCATAATGTACTTGTGTTAAATAAGTCAGTAAATTGTAATCATTCCTATTTTCACCCCTCCTCAAATCCTTTCGCAGTATACAACTTAGAAAATTGATTCGTGTAGAGATACTTTGATCATTTTTCGCACAGTTTCTAAAATTATGACAACCAGTAGCTGACAGTAAACCCAGAATCCAGTACAAATATTAAGTTATAATATGTTCGCGCTTCTGTAGAATCCCTGTTGGGAAGAATAGTTTGAAAAGAAAAGTTGGTAAACGTTAGTCATATTAACTACTTCGAGATAATCGTTACGAGAATGGTTATGCGTCATGAGAATTATTGGTCAACCTGACGGGTGTTTTAATTATAGTCTGTAAGCTACGTAAAGTCCCTTTGGAATGGTCTGAATTGTCAGCTATTTAGGTGCTTATAAAAATAGGAATCACTTTAATTCAAGTAAACAGAAGGCCCTGAATTCTTTCTGTAAATGCTTCTGCATATACGATACGTCGTCGTAATTCTTAGGTGCGTACTTATAGCCTACCAATCGACTTTTCCCAGGAAAAGTAATGGTTAGACATGTGTTTCCTAGAACTCTTGCTCGAACCTACGTAGCTTATTTTTTTTAGCCCGAATTGTCAGAAATCTCAGTTTTGTCAGACTCGACTACTAATCGTTATATTTCGTGAATCAATCTCATATCTGTTACTAATATCTGTTTAAACTGGAACTACTGAGATTAAAGGGAGAAATAAAGTAACAATGCTCACCTTTAGAATAGAATCAGTCTTGCTTACATTAATAACAGACTAAATGTGGGTAAAATACTAGATAAATTTCAGAAAGCTGGAAAATTAGATAAACTCGTAGCGGGTATCTTATAACACGTTGTGTTCATCCCATTTGTACTCAGAGCACCAAAGTCCTGAAGCTTTTGTGAGTAATACAAATCGTCACCATATTGTTTGGTTATTCTCATAAGTTACTTTTTCAGTTCAGTGTTCTACTAAAATGGAGCCCATGTAAAATTGCTGAGTTTGCCATGATAAGCTACATCGTGTCCGTTATGTCGTTATGTTCAGTCTCTCAGATTGTCAGATGCTAACTACCTGTAATTGTCCCATTACATCATCGGGTACTTTTTTGGTAAAATAAAACTATTCCTTGTACAAGTCACTATAGTTTTAAGATATTGTTGCATTACTTATTTTTAATGACTATATTCACTGTACCATAAATCAACTAGGACTGGTCAGCCTTTTTTCTAGTAAACTCAAGTTCACACGTTAAATATTCCCTGGAAGAGATGTAAAAAAATAGGCGCTTATTCGTTATTTCTGATGTTTATTTTTTTCCGAATGATGTTTAATCACATATCCAAAGTATGTAGCTGATTTAAGTAGTCCCATTAGGCGATCATGCAGTCAGTCAACAACAACGTAGAACATCGTACATACGTACATCAGTTCAAGTTGCCATACCACATTAGCACTGAGATGCAATTGTCACTTCAAATCCCATTATAGTAGAGGTAGTAGAAGTATTAACAGTAATCGGAAAGACTAGGGTTCTACGATATTACTCAAGAAGTAAAATCTAGTGAAACTTAGGAAGAAAAAGATAAAAGTGATGAGGAACTCTGAAGGTTAGGATTTGAGAGAACACAAAAAGTGGATGCAATTGGCACTTTGTTACTCTATGACGCTTTGTTTACGAAGCTAGATACATACTAGACACAATTATTTAGTAACATTCGTAAACGTTGATGGAAGTGCCGTATAGGAAAATACTCCAATGAAGAAAGTTGAGGAAAACCTTAAAATTACTGAGTTTCGTAATTACTGTTTAATGATAGATTTCATGTTTTGAGAGCAAATAAATTTTTTCGTCATTTGTAGGTTTTCCAATGATTGGTGTCTTTCTCAAGAGAGCATACTATCAGATATGCGTTCCATGCAACATATTAAAGAAAAGTATTCGAGTTTGTCGAAATCCCTAAGTGATTCAGACCGTCAATTAAGTGTAAGTTGCTTTATTGATATAACATTATTGTTATTGATAGAATTTATTGTCATCTGTGGAAAAAGCACCTGATCAGCGCCTTCTGATTTCATGGAAGAAGGTGTGTTCTGTTTGTCTATATACTTTATCAATCCTATTAGGAAATTGAAAAACTTCAAGATCGGAAGACAATATTGTCTAATCGTGTTGACCAGTATATGGGAATTGATACCGTACAGTTGATCTTTTATATAATGTGTTGCTTTTTAGGATACCGCAAAAGCTAAAAAACAATTAGGTGATGCGCTTTCTCAAATGGTATAATTACTTTTGTTTGATAAAGCTTTCTATACCTTTGCTAGGCATCAGTAGATTCACAATTACAGAAGATAATGGGCTTCAATGCATGGAACTAGAAGCCACCCGTCAGTATTAAGCATTTCTTACACCCCAAAAGTTTCTTTTATCTTTTGTATTTCACTAATTACATAAATATAAGTAGTTGCTACGAAAAAACACCTCTTAACCTTTCGTTGATATTATATTTATGCTGTGGATTTACTTATTAATTAAAAAAGGTGAAAACATCCTTATAGTTTTACTTTTTTTTCCTAGTTAGTGCTTACATAGGATATAGTTATGGTTTCTATATAGTGTGGTTCCAACTAATTTTGAAAAAATGTTAATTTGGAAACCGACTGTAGCTGCATGATTCGTAAACATCAGTTAGAATCTTACATCCGTAGTGATATCTTGTAAAAAGAGTAAATCCGAGATACCAACAGTAAATCCTACGTGACGTCACATACGGGACGAAAAACAGTTGTCAACTTGTGCACCTAAAAGAAATTCGTCGAACGTCAACTGTATGATCAATAGAGTTATGATGATCAGTGATCACCAATAAAACTAATTAATCAGATAACTCATTTAAACGAGAAGTATAAAATATCACTCACATTTGATATTCAACTAACGAATCTGTACTAGCATGCCCATTCACTGATTAATAAGTAGGACATCCAGTCAGTTACAAAGTTGAACTTCGTACTTAAGTACACAGTTCAGGTTGCCTTACCGCATTAGCACACAAACTCAACTGTCAGTTCAAAGCCCTTAGTGTTAGGGATAGTATAAGTATTATCCCTATCACTAGTTCAGGTGCCGACGCAAGCCAATCTTGAAGCAACATTTTGCATTTCGAGAGGAAGAATTGCATCCCGAACATGCGTGCATTGTTGCTTAGGGTAGGACATCCAAAATATTTGGAATAAATTCCACATAACTGCACGAATTTAATAAACTATTTAAAGATAATTAGGTTCAATCGCTATATAAAGCGCTTCTCGCGTATATAACTGAACAGAATAAACCAGTTTAACTTTGCCTTCATTTATAAGATAAGGAGTAAGATAATATAAGTTATAACATAAAATGAAACTAAAGAGCATATCTTGTAAATGTTTTCGTTTATTCTCCTATTTCTTGTTATAACGCGCTTCAAATTGTCTTCCTATAGCCCAGAGAGAACGGTCCTATGTGCTGGAGTCTGTTTTCATAGCACTTATTCTTTAAACATATCACTTAAAGAGGAGTTGTGTTTGCCTTAGCTCTATCCCCTATGCAGTTTGTGCTGGTTTACGAGCCATGCAGATCAGTTGCTTGGGGACAAGTGAGGCGAATTTCTGCAGAGGATGCGAGCTGTTTGTTTTGTATTATACTCAAAATTCCAACTGATTAGGTTTGGACCCAGGGTTTACTACTTATTTCTCTACATTTTTCGGTTATTTCGAAGCTCAAGTGGATCCTCTCCGTCTCTTATGTACCTGTAGATCTTTGTGTTGTCTTAACAGATTAGCACTCCCGAGGTAACTTTATCTAACCGGTGTTTGCGCTGAGGGTTTTCTGGAGTACTTAATGCAATAATACTGCATTCACAATAACCACATGGCTTACAAGGGGCATGTAAATTTTCAGGGAACGGTAAATTTTAACAGAGGAAGTGACATATCCTCCAGGAGACTGAGAACCCGTTTTGATTGATTCGTTATGAAAAATATTTATCTCAAGAAGCGAGATTACAGCATCGATGCTAGTAGGACTAAACCATGCAAGGCAGCAATTGGCGCGTTTTGTAGGTGGTGAGTTACAAATGAGGAATGTTGGCAATCATGGGAAGATTACAGACTGACTATGTTGTTCGAGGAGTATATCCTAGTGAAATAAATTTAAAAAGATAAAGGTTATGGGAATTTCAAAAGACAAAACAGAATTGATGTATCCGTGCCACTGCAGGCGGTTTTAAGCCATTCTAGTAAACTACGGATATTCTCTACTCTTACTGACCATGTTTCACACTCCAAGAGCAGGGTGAAGAAGACTGCCGCACAGTGACCTCGTCCGATGTTTTGTAGACGGATATTAGGATGATTTCTGGTTTGGTGGTTAAGATGTTTGTTTTAAATTCAGTTATTCTATTAATAGTAGAGCTCTCATTGATAAGCACAATCGAAAACTGACCATCATTACTTTAAAGTTAGTTCACACTGATATTTAACCCCAATTTACCACGTGTTTCGGATGCTTAGTTCAGGTGGCAACTCAACCAAAATGATAAGTCTAATATGTAAACATTTAACAGTTTCGTGTTGTTGTGACGGGATAATTGTACACTTCATCAATGCAACGAGTGCCACTGCTCCCTGAGATTCTTACCATACTGCTGAAATAGTGTTGTCCAGTTTATCTGTTTTCAGAAGCTGAATTGTCTCTGGCTCTTCGAAGTCGCTGGTCGAGGCTGGCCCTGGAACAACGGGTCCTTAAACTCGGGACGGTACTTCCCAAGAAGGATGGTGTTCATGCAGCTGAAAAGAGCAGAGACAATGCTACCAAATGAGTCATAACCATTGCATTGGGAGTGTACACGTCTTTCGTAGGTGTTTCTGGTTAATTCTTTGTATCCAGTCGTTCCTAGTTGATACGAATTTCTGGTGATTTACTATGCCATTCTTTAGATAAAGGTACATGGGAATTTTATTCAAGTTAGGCTTTTTAACGGGATGAGTTGTTTGAATAGTATTGCGTCTTTTAATATCATCTAAACAGTGTTTTCATCTGTTTTGTTTGGGCAGATGCTCAGCTTGTCTACTGATGAAAACTCTCCAGCGTTTGTTTCCAATCAAACGAAAGGTCCTTGTTTTCTGAGACAGAGAGACATTTTTGCTATCTACTAGGTGTTGTTTATTGCTACATACCCTGGTGGAGTAGCCTCTCCAAATATATTATTCATGAGACTCCCCTCAAGACCTACACCTCTTACTACGTTATCTTTGCAGTGTCTTTCTAATAGATTCCTACGTCAATCAAGACAACTGCTGCGTACCGAACCTTTTTGTTGAAAATGTGGCTATATCAAACTACTCATATCCGTGACATGGTGTAAAATTGCTGTCAGAGAAAGACCTTTGACAGCATATTTGTAAGCATTTCTAAAATTTTGACCTTGTTCGTAATCGGTAACAACGTGTTAGTTGAGAATAAGTATTATCATAATCATTATTATTAATTATTTCCAGGTTTTCTGATGCTATAGGTCTTGATGAGTAACCCTTGCTATTCTGCCTTTTAAAATAGTTCCTATCATGTCTTAGAGCTAAACATTGACAGTAGTGCAGCTTTTGATAATATCCTGTATGTTGGTAAATTAATTGTTTTCAAAAAACGTTGTGAAGCGAACAACAGTTGGACAACATAATGATTTATCTTTCTTACAAAGATATTAGCATTCACCGGTAACGTTGGTCTTTTAACATGAGTACAGCGTACGCCTAAGCTAAGTCTAGTAAAATATATTCTGGCACATTTTAGGAAATTGTCTTTTGAGATACTAAAATCTGCTCCATTACTTCTGAAGGAATGTAGTTTGTCATTATTCCAGCCTCATTTAAGATTTTATCTCTAGATTACAATGGTCATGAAGCACGTGTGTAAGTCGGGTCAACTCCTGTCGTTAATTTTGGACACCAACTTCTATGGACCGCATAGCTTCCAAGTCTTATTCCCCTTATGAAGAGAGATTTCTGTAATATTCAAGATATTAGAAACTTTAGCAAATGGACTTTCAGTTATATTTTCGGTAAGTTGGTCAGCTATAGACTATGGTTTTCAACATCCCGCCAAATTAACGAAACTCGACCCTGCTTACAGACTCAGAAACAACGCATATACTTTACTACCTGCAAAACACACAAAGTCATTGCGATGTAATTTTTTCGTAACAGAACACTGATTTATATATTCATTTGAAACGAAATCACAGAGTCTTGGAAGTGAGTGATGCAATTAACAAGCTATAAAGGAATTCGCTAACTATTTCCAGAACTGGAAACGAATAACCCTACTGCAGGATTGCCTAAAAAGTCACTTATCTTTCATAGCACTCCTAGTTTTTATTTCTAGAAGTCAGCCAAATCAAGAAGCCAGTAGATACTGTTCAACTACTGTCGATCACACGGAACTCGGATTTCCTGTATCACTGTAACTTCCATCTTGTTCACGGATTACCAGTTTCATACATTTTTATTTCCCCAATTCAATACCATCCAAACGCCTTGTATTCTTACTTACCGCCTTACTCGTTAGTTTTCAACACCATTTTCCTTCATTGTCTTTCGTCAGATGCCTATCTTTACTACCTTCAAACTGCCTATTAACTGATCCATATACTACAGTTTATACCATTAGTTAACGTACTACATGGACACAATCCAATATACAGAAGCTAATGTTGTCTGGATTGTTTGTAGCATGGCGCCATTAGGGAAAGTCTATTCTGCAAGGTGTGCAAGAAATCGAGCGTAGACTGAAACATTAGTAAAAGCATACCACTGAACGTAGGATATCCTTCAATGATAAAATGAGGGGGGGGTGGTGTATCGGATCAGCAATGATGACGGTTGGGCGACAACCTCAATGTACACATATCTGTAGGGGAGAAAAATTTACTTGCTTACTGCTCCTCACGATATGGTAGAATGAGACTAATCAGTGATATTGAAGTCATCTTTCTAAGTCAACCACGTTCCGCGACTCATGTTTATAACCTTGAACTGGTTTCACTTCCTACCAAGCTGATACAGGCAATGATGTTGAACAACAGCTCACTCATGACTTCTTAAGCTACGGCATAAAAAAAATTTAATGAAATACCGCTGAAGCATCGATTCACTGTGCCTTCATTGTTGTACTCCTAACTTGCGGGCTTTGTTACCACAAATTATTTTAATTTTTGTGGTTAGTATGAATTTTGTATTGCCTTATCACTTCACTGTCTACTTCAGTGCTCTGTTTATATATCTACAATCACCCCGTTGCTGTTCTTTTCCTCTCTCTTTTATCCGTTCTCAGAACTCAGTTCGCAGCGGTGCATTAATTTCTCCGCCACGCAAATTTCTCTTATTGTGCATGTACGTCTAGGTATTAAGTGCTTTCCAGTTAACACTTACCAAAAAATTCACTGATGGATTCCGCAAAGTACCCGAGAACACTGATGAGTA